AAATTTTTATTTGAAATTATGCCAATCATATAACACGATTAAATTAATTTTATAATCATTATTTGGATTAATTATTAATAATTTTACTTTTCATTGTCGTTAAATTAAAGTTTGTTTCTATGTATTCTTTTTATTACCATTTAAAAATGACAACCGCGACGAAAATGATTCTATGAAGTAACTTGTCAATGATTCTCTTTTATATTAAAACGATTCGATAATATTTAAGGTGTCTAAAAAATAATTCTTTTATAATTCACAGTATATTTACATATAAAACGACTTAATTCTTTAAAGCATATCCGCAAATTAAACGTCTCGATAAATTATGATGTATTCATATTGAATTGAAAGTTATATATTTTGACGAACCTACTTCGTTAATAAATCATTGAATCGTTTTATTCATAGATACACCGTCGATCGTTGACCAATTACTATTTCATAGAATTATATATATTTTATAATATTTCAATGATCGTTTTGATTAATTTTTAAACATTAATTTAAAACCGATAAAAACTTCATTTATTGATCCATTCAATAATGAAATAATTAATTCAAGGCTATCCTATAATTAACGTCAAGGCTAACCTAAATAAACATTAATTAGTTAATTAAATTAAATATTACTCAATATTGCATCAAAGTAGCGAACAGATTTCGTAGAATTCACAATCTACAGAAGCTCGAGCCTCTCTTTTTCTCTTCTCGGAAGAGAGAATGTTACTCGGACGTAGCATTTTACGACGTCGTATGATATGTTTCGAAAGGCTGCAGTTAAAGTATGTACATACATACATACATATATACGGTCGTTGAATAATTCTGACAATGAGAAGGATGTATCATCGGTTGGGTTGCGTCCCATCGAAATGATTTGTTATATACTTATTACTCGATGTAACAGTTACACGGATAATCAACTGGACGTTTCAACGAGCTTCGCTAATTGACGTAAATAAATTTCCATTTATTAATCGGTAATCGAATTCGTAAGATTTTTATACATTTATTTAATCATATATATTACACGTTTATCAAATAGAAATTAGCTTACCGAGGATTCCGTTGATCGAATGGTTCGTTCCGAGATCGTCAACGCGACGAATTTTATTTGGTGGACCACGAAGTAGCCTGGTGATACTCGAAACCGATGGCGCTGATGCCTTATCGCAAACGCCATCCTGCTGGCAGAACCACGTTGGACCAGTTAATATACCAGCTAATAATAATTAATAATAATCAAAGAATAAAAGTATCAAAGAAAAATATTATAAAGACAATGTCAACGGACCTTTATTAGTCTCTCCTTGATCTCCCAGCTGAGAAGATTTGGATTTTGTCTTTTAAGATCTTCGATCCTGCTCTCAACTTCAGGAGTGGCAACTCGTGGCTTGCTTCCACCGATCACACCTGGTCTGATCGATCCGGTTTCCTGATATCGATTAAGAATCTTCGACACGCAACCGTGAGAGACTCTTAGCTGTCTCGATATCACACAGGGTCTTACACCGGACGCCGCCATCTCGACAATTTTCAGTCTGATGTGATTCGGTAGTGGACGACCATTTATAAAGACTCCACCTAATTGATTAACACGACCTTGTCCTGAAACGTCGAGTTAAGAATTTTTAATTAATGTATTATTATCCATATTTGATATACATACATACATGTCTCATTTTATTTGAATATCATATCAACGTAAAAGTTTTTCTTCTTTAAATATAGTCGTCCCGTATATAAATATTCTATCCGAACTAGAGTTTGCTTGTTAGGCAGTTTTAAGTTGTCCAGGATAAGAGACGTATAGTAAGCAAAAAGAAAAGAGTAGGAAGATGAAATTTCGAGAGTAAAGTAGAAGTGAGTGTAATTTCCAAAGAATTGAGACGAGGGTGTACACAAATTGCAAGAACAACGAAATTCGCTTTACTGAACGTACAAACAGAGAGAGGGAGAGAGAGAGAGAGAGACAGAGAGAAAGAGAGAGAGAGAGAGAGAGAGAGAGAAAGAGAGAGACGGATAGAAAGAAAAATGTGATGGACCTGCAACGTGCAGCAAACTCGTCGTTTGGAAGAACTCAGTGACACGCAAGGTGCCGCTCAAACGTTCCTAATTACCGGTAATTAGGGTCCCTCTTAATTAACTTAATTATAATCACGAAGTCAAACAAACCGCGTGTTACGCGTCCTTTGCGGCAACCGAGCAAAGAAGCGAATGAGATGCGCGATTTCTTCGTGTCGAGTCGAGTCGAGTTGAGTCGAGTCGAGTCGAGTTAAAAAGTGAGATAGAGAGAAAGAGAGAGACAGAGATAGATAGAGGGAGAGAGAGACAGAGATAGATAGAGAGAGAGAGAGAGAGAGAGAGAGAGAGAAAGTTTCGAGCGGGGACCAGAAAGCCAGAGCGTTAAAAGAACGAGCTCGCGTGCCTTTTGCGAAACGGGCGCGAGATGAGGAAGGCGTTCGAACGTTCGTACTGATGCGCCTTACGGTTATCCTCGGTTTTGCTCGAAGCAGTAAAACCGACGGAGAAGACGGAGTTACGTCCTAGCGTGTGTAAATATAAAAAAGGAAGAGGAGAAGGAGGAGGAAGAGAAGAAGGTGGAGGAGGACGACAACAAAGACAACGACGACGACGACGACGATGACGAAGAAGTAAGAATAAGGAACGTCAAGAAGAAGGTATATCTATACAACATTTCTCTATGTAACTAAAACTCTCTTGGAAAAGAACCTTGATAAATCATTATCGCATAGAGAATATAATCAAAACGATTCCGCGTATTTCATTCATCCCGAGTAGTTCGTTTAATCGGATTCCATGAGAAATCCAGAGGGTCTGCTCCGCTAATTATCACGAGGACGGGATTCAGAAAAGAGATCCCATCCATCCTCCTATCAAAAGGGAGAGAGAGAAAGAGAAAGAGAGAGAGAGAGAGAGGGCAATGTAGTCCCGTTTCGTCGTTCATCGAACGCCTCGAGATTTACATCCTTCTCCCCCACTACTCTCTTTTCTCTTTCTCTCTTTCTTTCTCTCTCTCTCTCTCTCTCTTTCTATCAACGGGCAAAGCCAGCTCTCTGCAAGACTCCCCGTCTCTTTCTATCTCTCTATTTCTCTTTCTCTCTCTCTCTGTCTCTCTCTTTCTCTATCTTTCTCTCTCTTTCTTACGTTTGGGATCCTGGGACACACATCCGTGAGGGAGCCAGGCCCCGTACGGTCCCGGCGTGTATGTGACGTCAGTCGGGCCGCGGGGCCCGACGGGATTACAGGCGAGATCAAAAGACGCCGACCGCCACCGCCGTCGCCGCCGACACCGCCGCCGATGACGAGGACTTGCCTTTGAATGCACGCCCTACACTCGCGCGAATTACGGAATAGAAGAAGAAGGTGTACGATTGCTTATTTTTTTCTTCCTTGATTTTCTTTTATTTATTTGCCTGTATTGTTTTCTTTTTTTTCTTTTCTTTTTTGGTTTTTATTATTTAATTTCAATCGGAAGATAAATCAGCTTTGAATGAATAATATTTAATTCGATTAATCATTTACGATTAAGTTTTTATTTAATCTTCGTTACTTAATCATTTATAATTGCATTAACGATTAATCGATTGATTTTTTTCTTCTTTTTTCATTTTCACGAAATCAATGTTCGTTCCTATAAATTTATTTTATTTTCTTATAATCATTGGAAAATTAAGTCAAATGATAAATATAGTACTATGGAATAGTTGGTTAATGATTCATAGTGTCTCTACGATTCAATAATCGACGTCGTATCAACAAATAAAACAATTTAATGATTTACAGTGTCTCAATGGATTAGTTGGACAATGATTCATGGTGTGTTTGCAAATAAAACGATTCGATAATGTATAGTACGTCTACGGAATAATTCGTCAATAATTCACGATGTGTCTATGAATAAAATGATTCAATGATCTACGACGTTTATGCAAATAAAATGATTCAGTAATTTAACAATATACCAGTTAAAAAAAAATTGACGAAATACTTTATAGATACGTCAAAAATCATTGAATCTTACTATTCGTATACACGTCATTGACGAATTATCCCATAGACACGCTTTAAATTTGACAAACACGTATATTATTGTTCAACTATTCTGTAAAATTACTTTCACCACATTCATTATTCTGATTCATTTTGAAATATTAATAAAAAGAAAAAAAGTACGATACACATAATCATACGTTAATTTCACGACAATGAGAACATAAAGTATTAATAATTAATCCAATTAATATAATTCAAAAATTAATAATTCTAATTTGATCGTATAAATACATGTCGTATTAATAACATTTCTGTAGATAGAAAATATTCGATCATTATACAATAGTAATTGTTAATCGTTGAATAAAATATCGCCGAGCATTTTTTTACATGTTTGAAAAGACCTTTCGATTTGTTCGTATTCGGTTTACATGCGTCCCGTAAATGCGTATGTCATTCATTACTCAAATGCGAACGACTACTTTAGAGTTATGGACTTCGTCGGTCGTAACTTTGGTCGTAGAACTGATAACTCGGAATATTATGCGAGTCAACCTTCGTAACTTTTCTCGTTTTTAACGATCTCAAGTAACAAAGCTTTTTATATTTATGTACGCTTCCGAACGAACTTATAAAAATCTTTATGTATCGTATATCACATACACGATAAATAAAATAAAAATTGTTTAAATTGCTTTTTTAAGGACAACATCGAAGAAAATCTTCATCTTTAAGAATTACGAAAGGAAAAGGGAAAAGAAGAAGACCACCCTGGAAGCGAGTGAAATGATGAAACGACGAGGAAATAATTTAACGCATGAATTATTGATAAGCGGCAATTGATTGTGAGCGATCCACGCTAATAACCATGATCGGTGGCAGCGATGTGACGCGATAGAGAGGGGGGATCGAACCGATTTGAATACGCTCGACGCATCGCTCGTCATTAAGCTTCCCTTCGAGGCCCAAGTCTGCCGTTTCTCTCTCTCTCTCTCTCTCTCACTTTCTATCTTTTTCTCTATACCTCTTTTTCTCCGAATATTCAATGTTATCTCAAAGAAGACTAGGTGATCCCTTAGATTTTACAACGATTACTTTCCGATTTCATCGATTAAATGAACTGTTACAAGGTTTCGACAAGATTTGGTCAGCTTTCACAAGTTACTTGGTACAGTTTAAGAGAAAGTTCGTGTTGTTGTAGCTGCTGGTAATTCGAAATAATAAATCTTAATTTATATCCAGGACGTTATTACGATCTATTGAATATATATATATATACACACACACATACACTCACATACACATATGTATATATGTATGTGTATGTATAGATGTATATTTTATTTTCTCTTATTTTTGGTGATAGTATAAAACTATAGAAGCAAGATCGTCAAGAAGGATCGATAACATCTTCGGGATCGATAAGGATCGAACCCGTCAAGATCTCTTTGTCCAGGAAGATTGAATATTCTTCGCGTCGTCCGTCGTCCAGGAAGGGTTCTAAAGAAATTACAAGAGGAAGAGGTGTACACGACTATGTGCGATTATCTACGTGCAACCAAGGGATGCATGTACTTAGCGTTCGGTGTGAGTTCCGAGTTGCAAGGCCTCAATCATCGCGCCGTCGCCTGCGGCCTATTCGATATCGGACATTAGGTACCCACGAGTTCTCTCTCTCTCTCTCTCTCTCTCTCTCTCTCTCTCTCTCTCTCTCTCTATCTATCTATCTATCTTTATCTTTCTATCTCTCTCTCTCTTTCTCTCTCTCTCTCTCTCTCTCTCTCTCTTTCTCTTTCTTTCTTTCTTTCTTTCTTTCTTTCTTTCTCTCTCTCTCTCTGTTTTTTTCTTCCTTTCTTTTTCTTTCTTTCTCTTTGGATGCATCAAACTTGTCTTCCTTTCAACGCCCACAACACGATGATTTTTACTTGAAACCATCTCTTCTATCTATCTTTTCTACACCGCGATATAAAACAAGTTTTATAATTAAAATATGTTAATTGTCTTTGTGATCTAAACATATTAAAAAATTCTAATGTCAATTATTCCTTTGTTTTCTATACTACTTTTTACGAAACTAACACTTTCTAATGTCTCTTATTATCACCGTCGGTTCTAATACTTGTTCGTTAGACGTAATATTTAAAAAAGAGTTTCAAGTCAACGAGAATTGCAATGCCAATCATTTGATTATATCGTTTCATTCTTGGACGTATTTATAAGCAAAATTGTCACAATGTTTTAGTAAGCTTTTTCAAGTAATAGAATAATCTTGAGATCGTTAGACGTAAAAAGACGAAAAATAAAAATAATTTCGATCGAAAGACGACTTGTAATGTTTTTTTTTGTTTTCTTTTTCAAAACATCAAACTTGATAGAAAATGTATAACAATCGATATGAACTTACCTTGAAACGCGTATCCAGTAAAATACGGCGGCATTCGATGTTGACTGAGCGTTCTGACCGCCATCTGGCCCGTATTTTTGGACCCGGAATAATTTTCTCACGTTCACCGTGCACTTCTTCCGTGGTAGAATTACTGTCGGATAATAAAAATAACAACAAAGGAAACCAACAAAAATAATATATTTCCACCCTGTCGAATTGTTGTCAAAAAGGAATAACTTCGAATGATCACTTATCGATGACGAAAGACGATTCGGATCCAAGAATAAAAGAAAAAAAGAAAAGAAAACTCGATCTCTTTTTGCTCGAATTATGTTCCTTCTTTTTCTTCTTCTTCTTCTTTTTCTTCTTTTTCCTTTGTTTCTTTATTATTACTTTTTTTTTTTTTAATACTTTTTCCTCCTCCGAAAATCCGAAACGCGGATGAAGATACGCCGTTCTTCGCGTAAACGAACGAATTTTTTAACTAGAAACAAAAATGCCCGATAATGACCGAAGAGGACAACGAGGAGGACCTGTTTGCTTCGGACTCTCGACTCGGACTGGCCAAAAGGCTGAACGAAGTCTCGAGGAGTCTGGCAAGCGAGAACCTGAAGGAAAAGGTAAGAAAGAGAAAGAGAAAGACAAGGATGGATAGATATGGATCTCGAAAGGAGAAAAGGAAAGACGATGACTCCGCCTTTCTTCGTGAGGCCCCTCGATAAGAAACCAGCACTGGTCCCAGACCATCTCGACTCGAAGGCAAACCAAACGGGAGCATGGTCGTGAACGTTGTATTGGCATTGGTCACTATGTAGCTGATTCCAACCACATGGAGGTGGTCTCAACCTCGACTCCGCCCGAGTCTTCTCTTCCTCTTCTCTTTCTCGTCTTTTACGTTCGTTTCTTCTCCTTCGTTCCTTCTCCTTCCTTGTTTTCATTCTTGGAACAACACGCAAATAAGTACATATGTATATATGTATACTTGAATACATATTTGCGATTTTCGATCGTTCCTTTCATTATTTTTTTCGTTTTCTTTTTTACCGATTCTTAAGATATTCTCTTTGAAGAAGGTGTACCGAATGTTTTCGAAAAAAAGAAAAAAAGAATTATTTAATTACCTTGAATGTTTATTAGATATGGACGAATGATGGAAAAATCGTTTGATTTTTATTTTTTAAATTATTATTTTTCTCATTGATTTTTAGAGTTTTATATATTTGTCAGGCTTAAACTCAAATAATACGATTTTAGTATTATTATAATTAAATATCAATAAGAAGACATGGAAGTTAATTGAAATCTTTTTTCGATCAATTCTTTCGTTCTTCTTTTGATTTTTTTTTCAGATTCTCCATGACAGGCGTAATTAAAAAAAAAAAAAAAAAAAAAGAAAAAAAAAGAAAAAAAAAAGATATTTAATTGCTTTCGAAATAAAACACGAAAGATCGATGATCGATATGAAGTCGTTCAGTTTTTACTTTGTAAATTATTTTTATGTTATCTCATTGACTCTTCGATTTATATTTTTGTCAATTCTAAGTCGAGTAATACAATTTTAATATTAATTAAATATCGTACCGATAAAAAGAGATACAAGGATTAATTAAAATATTTTCTTTTTCGATGTTGTAAAATTTACGATACGATATGCATGTAAACACCGATATAATTCAATAATTTTCATTCCAAAAATTTCTATAAAACCCGTTAGAGTAATTTTCGAATTGTTCTTCTTTTTTAAAATTAAAAATCGCCTTCTCATTTCGCGTGATTCAACGACGAGAAGCATCGCTTGTAATTTCGTTTACATCGTTAATTATAATTAATCGAGTTGCCCGTGTAATCATACGTTTAATTGAATTGGGGAATTGTGTGGACAGAATATGAACGGTTAATTTTCGGCCGGTGCGACGAATCCTCGTCACGTTTTAAAGAAACGATCAACGGGGTTATTATTTACAAATATTTCGTATTATTAAAAATTTATATGGCATATTATAACAACGAGGATCTTCGAATTCTTATCTATACGTTTGTATATTAAAGTTGGACATTAGTTGAATAACATATTAATTAAATATTTTCTCTTTTTTTTACTTGATATATATATATATATATATATATATATATATATATCTTATTTTTTCAATTTTGGACAAAAATTTTTTTTAAAACTCTTTAAAATGTTTATGCGTATCTATGTATGTTTATTTTAAAAGAACAATAATGGGTCTCGTAGAAATTCTTATAATACATATGTATATGATCAATTCGATTTTTTTCTTTAATACGTTGCCGCACACTTTTAATTTGATGATCGTGCTCAAAAACACATTTTTTTTTTCAATTGTTTATGACTGCCATATAAAATTGAGCATCAGTCGTTATGTGCAAGACGGCTATAGCCGTCATTTGCTTACATATCGCCAAAAATTGGACGATTATAGCCGTCATTTGCGGCAACGTGTTAAAGAATGTATCATTACAAATTATTAATTGAATTGATATTAATAACGTTATTCTTTCTTTGCATACTTATCGTATGTTAGTGCTGGCCGTTATTCAAGTTACAGTTTGATGGATAGATATTCTATATGTTATTCTTCAATTTTGTTATGACAACTAACAGATCATTATTTTGTTAATTTCTTAATGTTCATTTATGTAGGTATATATATATATATATATATATATATATATATATATATATATACGTATACTTTATATTATATTATATTATATTTATATGTTAAACATAATATGTTTAAATATAATATTTTATATATCAGTATTTATTCCATTTCTATAAATACTTTTATATCATATTATATTATATTATTATCCAAGTTATATATATACACACACATACACACACGTGTAATATACACAGTAATAATGTGCTGACATTACTTATAGATCAACCTTAATATTAAGTAAGTATTTAAAAGAAACAACAAAATAAGAATAAAATGATATCTGTATGAGTAGGTATGAATGTATATATTCGTTAGAAAATAAATAGTATAAAACAATGGGTTAAAATGATAATAATTTTCCGTAGATCGTCTTAGTACGGGTGCAATCGTCAAACAGCAGGAGGACGATTCATAGAGGGTGGAGGATGCGCTCAGTTCGGTACGATAGCACGTGTCGTGATTGTAGTTTATGGGGAGCTGATTGCAGTCGAGAGCGTGGGTCGGTTGCAGTAGTGTGAACGCCACGAAACATGCTGGAGAGTTCCGACTCCATTCATTCCACCTTTTACATATCCATTCCAGTGTCAGTGTTTCGTTTCGTAATCATTAAGATATGCATTATACTCCTAATGACGAGCAGCCGTGGTCGCGAGAGCGTGTCCGATTCGCGAGCAGCAATCGTTTGCCCTGCGTCACTTTCGAACATAAATTTTCTATAAAACGACTTTGACTTTCGCATCCTTTTCAATGATTTTCATATCAACTTACTTAAGAATTTATCACGATCGATCGAAGATTTATCGAATCGTTAATTTTATTATTTTTTTTTCTTTTGTATTATAGAAAATTTACCAGAATTGATGACGCATTTCTTCATTTAATCAAGTGTTTTAAATAAATTAATAATAATAATAATAATAATCATAATAATATTAATAATAATAATAATAATAATAATAATAATAATAATAATAATAATAATAATAATAATAATAATAATAATAATAATAATAGTAATAATAACATTATTAAATAATTTAGATAAATCTTTCTAATTTGTTAATAGATCATTTTTACGTTACATAAAATTTATCTTTTTTCTTAACCATAACTTTTGTCCTAGAGAAATGTTCAATGACGATTAAAAAATATAAAATAAAGATGATTATCATCTGATATTTATAATTATAATTATTTGTCTTTATGAAATATACAATATTAACTATTGCACATATGAAATAACGAAAATAAAATCTTTGAGAAATTCGTCAATAACTTTTAACAAAAGCGTGATCGTAATGAAGACATAACGACGTCAGAGTCGAGCAATCTCGTGGGTCGAACGACAAATTCGTTATCTTCCCTCGAAGTTGTCCGGTCTCTCTCAACGGCGACCTTGAGATTTGAAACGTTGGCGAATAATCGTGAAACACCCGCTGTTCGGATGATCAATCGGTCTGTCGGGAAGGGCGTATTCTAAAATTGTTATAATGGACGAGAGGAGTAGTAGGACTCTGAAGAACATCGAAATTTTTCGTCGAGAGAGTTCGAAAAATTTCAAAACTGTTCTGTATAAAAGACATTTCTTTAACCATATATCAGCTATATAATGTAGGACAATTGGTCGTTGTCATTGTCGAGAAGAAACGTACCCATGGGATCAGAATCGAGTCCGTGATGTAAAAGATTGTGTCCCACCATCCTGATCGTCTTTCTTATTCGAAAAATATTCCCTAAGGAATCAGCATCCACCTAATTGTTCCCCATTCAGTCCTTTTTTTTCGTAGGACACTCTACGAGCAGTACTATCACCATCGCGCGGTGTCATCCTCTTACCAACTATACGAAACCCTTTTCCATTGGCTCGACTAACAAATCGAGTTAGCTGTACGTCTATTATTCATGACGACGCATTGACATATTTTGACGGGTTTGTTGATGGCAAACAGTGGCGAAAAGTTTACCTTTCTACGGCAACGTTAGGACTTTCGAACAATTTGCTCGAGTCAAATTTGGTGGGCGTGATCCATTGTAACGATCGATGATTTCGCGAAAGAAAAAAGAAAAAAAAATGGAAAGGAAAAAAAAAGAGGAAACAATTTTTCCAATTTTCTCAAAACTCCGCTCGTTCCTTTCTTTCGTTTCTTTTTTTTTTTTTCTTTTTTTCTTGTCTCTTATTTTTCGTTTTTCTTTCGTCTTCGATAAAAGATATTGACATAGACGATCGAAGGAATAATATGTATATGTTTGATCTATCAGATCATCGATATCGCCGATATTATACGTAGAATTAAATATAACGAGTTTTGCACACAGAAACGGTAGATGGCATGCATGCCAATCGTTCTTGTTGGTGAGAGCCATTAAAAGCGCGTGGGCTCTCGACTTTCGCGCGCGTATATAGCTTCGTGCTCGTGTTGTTCGACCGAGAAACGGAGAAAGACGTTTCGAAACGAGCGAGAAAGAGAAAAAGAGTGAGAGAGAGAAAGAGAGAGAGAGAGAGAGAGAGAGATGGAACGGAACGAAACGAAGAGAAAGAGAGAGATAGGTAGAAAACGCATATGAAACTCTCTCTCTTTCTCTCTCTCTCTCTCTCTCTTTTTCTCTTTCTCTTTCTCTTTCTCTTATACGATTCGTGCATGAAGAGAGGAAAAGGGAAGCCTCGGCCTACGGACTTGGCCCGCAGTTAATTGCCAGCATTTAATGAGCGCTCTTTGACGCGCCGCGCGAACCGCCACAACACGGCCAGTCGTAATGGCCGATGCTTTTCTGACGACTGCGCGTACCAACCTTACACACCGGGCCCAATACCTATGTACAAACCTGTGCTCACATTACACACAAATGCATAAGTACCTTTATATATATATATATATATATATATATATATATATACACAAACACATAGACGACACATGTATATCCATATGCACTCATGTATATACGTAAAGCGAAAAGTAAAAATGGCTTCTCGCGAGTATTTATCGAACGACCCTTTCATATTCTACTCGCACACTAACGAAAAGCACTTTAACGATTGAGATATTAGTTTGACTGCGCCGAGAAGTCAGCGAGAAGTACTCGTTTCGACGATCGGACGGGTGAAATGGGGTGGGGTAGGGTGGGGTGGGGAGGAAGAGGGTAAGGATGGGAGAAAGAGTTAGTGACCTTTCCTGCGTGTCCATAGTGAAATTAGATTTCAAAGGGCCCGAACACATTTCCTCTCTTGCTTTCACAATGCCTCGCACCTTACCGCCATTTTACGATTTTGTCGCGTGACAAATTCCCAAGTAGTATAGCTTTTTTATAAATATCTTTAATCGAATAAGATAATAATAAGAGGCGCACTAGTTGGATACATCTATGTGAATCTTATATCTCGTATCTACGTTTTTACTTTGTCAACTTACCGATAATGATGATAATTTTCGAATGAATGATACTTTTGGAAGAAACTTTAAAGTACTCTGATATTTTATTGTGATTTATAAGAGATGTTTTTAATAGTTTATTACGAAACTTTCTTTAAACTTCTTAGTTCAATATAAATGCAATCTTGGAAATGTTCCATCGATATATTATCGGAATAGTATTATTTTTATTTATAGAATTTTAATATGGATCTGTCGTCGATAATTTTCAACAGTCGGTATGGTAGAAAAATGGTTGATATAGTAGGAAATAAAAAGAAATGACAATACTTTATAATATTTTTTCGTTAATTTTTACAAAATAAATGTACGCTATAACGTTCGTGAAACAAAGAATAATTACGAAATGTTTTGAATCTGTTTAAAAGTGCTGGCAAATGATATATTTATTCCAATATAATATTTATAAAATAAAAGTTATAAAACATATTATTATATAATAATGCATTGATCTTACCGACCGTTGTTAAGGTCATTCTCGTTATACCATTTTCAATTTCGTGTCTCCGGAAGACGCAGTTTTATCGATTTTTTCTAAAATAGAATAAATTTTCCTCCCATCTTGGATAAAAACAATTAACCGGATTAACATCCATATTAAAATGGACGAGTATCGGATTCACGCTTTGAAGAAAAAATAGCTGCAGAAAAAGTTACATGGTTGACGTATAAGCATATCGAATTGCACATTGAAGAGAGAAGAGAGGTATATGATATAATGTCAAGGTCGATTAAAAACGAACGAGAGGTTATATAACAAAAGCACATTTATTTTACTTCGACAGAGTTTTCATCCCAGCACGATGCTCGTGTGGGATGTTTTTTTAAGATTCTCGATAAAAAAAAAAAAAAAAAAGAAAAAAGAAAAAATGTTCATCCATATTTTCCATTTGATGCGACAGATCGTTCTTAAATAATCAATTTGATTAATTAATCAATCGATCGTTATTTGACATAATGTCTTCTTCCGGTTTCGTCGCGAAACTGTTACATTTATTAATAAAACGATCTAAAATTGGTTAGAGGATAATTGATATAATAAAATCTAAAAAAAAAAAAAAAAAAAAAAAAATTAATAAATACGGAAAGATATTAATCGATTTTCTTTTTTTTTGAACTTGAAGAGACACGAAGCAACGATGTTTTCCGACAGGCACAGCACCAAGATCTTTAATATCCTATTCCAAGCGGTCGCTTTTTTTAACGGTCGGTGGTGGAGCCACTTATCAAAGGCTCTTACCTTATTAGTTAGCGTACGTGCTTAACCCAGATAGGACATACTCCCACGTGAAGGCCCGTTATTAATCAGCTGCGAGGACGAATTAAATGAAATTTTAGTGACATTTTAAAATGGGGTCAAAGGTCCCTGTACGAGCGAGTACAAAAATGACATCGGCGCGACTTTTTTCTTCTCATATTCTTTTTTCATTAGATACAATAAATACATCGGTGTGGAACTGCTGTATGTATGTATGTATGTACGTATGTATGTATGTATGTATGTGTATATACGTATGTATGTGTATGATGCATGTATGTATATATGTATATATGCATGTATGTATATATGTTATATGTTGTATGTATGATAGACGAACAGCAGAGACAATGTAACATTTGTGTGACTGCGAGGTAATCTAGCAGTCGATATATATATATATATATATATATATATATTATATATATATATTTCTTTATTTATCTTTCTTCTTTTCTTTGTAATCCTTGTATATGCGTCTCTTGCACTTTAATGAAGACATTCGGTTACATAGGTCTCCCACGTAGGGGGGAAAAAGGAAGGTACGGCTTTTGTGCATTTGTTCCTTTTCCATTCGCTCGTTCATTCGTTCGTTCTTTCTTTCTTTCTTTGTTTCTTTCTTTCTTTCTTTCCTTCTTTCACACTACAAAACTATACTTATTCCTTTACATCACTGGCTCATGTTTCTCGACTCCTATGATCCTCTCGCCATTTTTACACGTCGTTCGATTTGAACGTTCATTCTCGATAAGAATAATCGATCGATCGACATTCGAAAAAAGAAAAAAAAAAAGAAAATCACACTGTACAATAGCGACGAGTTGAGGGTGGAAAAATAAAATGGCAAGTTTAAAGATTAAATTTTCGAAAATACTTGCGTTTTAAACTAACCTGATCACGGTCGACAAGATGTAAGTAAAAGTAAACTAAGCACACTTTAACGCACGTTGACACTTTTAAAGAAATTTTTTTTCTTTCTCTCTCTCTCTCTCTTTCTCTTTCTCTCTTTCTTTTTTCAATCTTTTTCTTTCTCTGTTTCTTCTCCTTCTCGTTTCTTTTTAACATTTCTCTTTCTCTCGTAGATACATACGTACTTTATCTTTCGCCCATGCACACCGTAAAGTTGTGGATAATGGAACACGTACGAGTATCTCTTTTCTTAAACATTCTTTGTCATGTTAAATACACAATCTGAGATAAAATATATGTATATGTACGTGGTACGATCGTATGATACTCCTGATGTTTTCCGATGCCGATCATCGCCCTAATCGAAAACGAACAACGACGACGGAACACACGAAATTCGAACATTTATTATTATTATTATTATTATTATTACTATTATTATTATTATTATTATTATAATTATAATTATTATTATTATTACAATTATTATTATTATTATTATTATTATTATTATTATTATTATTATTATTATTATTATTATTATTATTATTATTATTATAATTATAATAATAATAATTATTATTCTTTTTTATTTTTGCTGCGTTAATTTAAAAAAGATGTTACCACGATCGTCTTCGTCGAATACGATGATCGATAACATTGTCGTTTCTGTTTCATCCGTAGTAGGGCGCTGCGATCGGTAGGACGAAAATATCGACAGAGATAAATAAAGTGAAAAGAGAATATATATATATATACACAATATATATAAACTATATATATATATATATATATATATATATATATATATATATAGTGTAGTAGATTATATATCTAATATATATATATATATAATTTATGTTATATATTGGGTTGGCAACTAAGTGATTGCGGAAAGTGTAAAGTCCATCTATTGACAAAATCCGCAATCACTTAGTTGCCAACCCAATATATATAGTATATATATATAATCTATATATATATAATATATATACATATATAGAGAGAGAGAAAGTAAGGTCCCCTTTTCAAGGGCCTATCAGGGAATTGACATTACGAGAAAGAGCGTATCCTAAATTATCCACCCTTTCTTTATTTTTCTTCATATTTATCTTTATATTCTCTTACTTCTTCATCCTCACTTCCGACTTATTTAAGTCACTTTCGACTTATTTAATTACGTGTAAAAACGTATGTGTCGTACATACATGCATATTTAGACGCGATATTTGTGTCGTGATTGACATCGCATCGTATTTAAATATATGTATATGTTTATCATAATACATAGTAAAATCGTTCAGCCTCGGTTGCGTCGATAAGATTTAGGTACTCATGTAGTATTCGGAACATCCTCTCGCGCTCTTTTCTTGCTTATTTATTTCTGTTAGCTTTTTCTTTTTTTGTTTATTTTCTTTTCTTTCTTTTTCTTTTTTTTTACTTTCCTTTTCTTTTATTTTCTTGGAGAGAACTCGGACGACGAATCTTCTCGAGACGAACGGCGTATAAAAGTGAATAGCGTGTATACGTGTTACACGTATACTCACATATACGAGGTACATCATATTCATCATCATACATACATCATACATACATCAAATTACATACAAACGTACATATACATGTATATACGTACGTATAAACATACATAAATGCATGCATGCACGCACGCATCGTGCATACATACAACGAGCGAGCGTAATTAAAAAAGGACAGACGCTCGTGGAAATTCTCTTTATCGACCGACCGACACGACCTTTGCCGATATTATTTTTCGTCTACGTTGAAGTATCGGTCATCATTATCTTTTCTCTTTTTCTTTTCTTCCTTTCACTTTTTATTTTTTCTTTTTGCAATTTTTTTTCTCTTTTTTCTCTTTTTTTTTCTTTTTTTTCTTTTTTTTTTTTTTTTTTTTTATTTATTTAATCTCTAAACGATCTCTCTCTCTCTCTCTCGTCGTTTTTCAGAATTTCTATGAAAAAAAAGAAAGAGAGAAAAGAAAAAGTCGGCCGGGGTCGACGATACCGAGCTCCGACCAATGACGTTGTAGTCATTTGACAAGAAAAGAAAGCAAGATGGCCGCGAAAGTTGCAGGCTAGTATAGATTTTCTCGTTTTCCTTCTTTGTCATTCCGTTTTGTTCCAATCGTTTTTTCTTCTTTTGAAAATACTAAGAAAGAAAAAAGAAAAAAGAATATATATATATAAAAAAAAAAATATATATATATATATAGACGGTACAATTAGAATCCCATCATAACTCCGGCGATCGATCGTAAAAATATGTAATATGAGAGTAACTCTTGTTTCGCGAGCCTTTTTCTCGATTGCGTATGTATACATATGCAGTGTGCGTGTATAATTTCGTGTCTGTGTGTGTGTGTTGTGTTCCGTCGTGTTGCTTGTGCGTCGTGCGCGCACGTGCTATTCGAAATGTACCGGTGTACGTCATGTGCGCGAGAGAAAAAGAAAGGGCGCGTTAAGAGAAAAAGAGACGACGCATTTTCATCTGATGAGTACGACTAGGACTTGGCCTTCTCGCTTTGTGCTTTGTCAAAGCCATCGATAAGTGTTTCGATGATGAACTTGATCGTCAGCTTGTAGATACTCTCAACGTTTTCTGAGTAACGATCTTCCAATGTTCGCTTCACCGCGTCTAGGAAAGGCTTCTCGATTTTCTGAAAGCAAATCTTCCGTTTTCTTTTTTTTCCTTATATCACTTTAGCTTTTGGAAGGGAAGAAAGAGAGAGAGAGAGAGAGAGAGAGAGAGAGAGAGAGAGAGAGAGAGAGAAAGAGAGAGACAGAGAAAGATAGATAAAAGAGAATATCAAAATAAAATTAATTTACAACGTGGAAAAGAATCTGTTTCTATAACATAATATAATATAAAAATAAAAGTATGATAATGTATATAAATAAAATATATTTAATGAGATAATTTATCACAAGAGTGATAAATAACAGATAAATTAATTTACTATTAACGGTTGTAGGTAAAGTAGATTTCTGTAATGTAAGGTTAAGAAATAATAATATGATACATATGTAATAACAATTTTGGGACATGTCGTAAGATTTTTTGTTTTTTTTTTTTTTATATAAAAAATATGATAAGTGTGAGATAAATATGAGATAAAATAAATGAACAAAAAAAAGAAAAAACAAGCAGAAACAAAAAAAACCATGACGTACAAACATATTCGGAGCATACCCAAAAATATTGTCGATCGAAGCCCGGTATTTTAGTATGCGATGCACCAGCCTGATGCAAGTACGCTAGAAAAGTATCCATATCGTCTAAACTCTTAATTCCTTCATCGAGAGTCATCATGACCGTCCTAGCATGTTCGGCCAATTCCATGCTCGACGATTGTTGTTCCTTCGTTTTTAAATCCCGAAACTTGGTGAAGAGATTTAAGAGTTCTGCATTCTCCTCGAATAATCTAAAAATAGAAATATACAAAGTAGTACATATGTACATACATACATATATCTTCGTTAAGCATTCCTTTCATTTTGACAATTCATTGGATTAATTTATTATTTTATTATTAAATTTTTCCTTTTTTTAGTAGGTATATATATATATATATATATATATATATATATATATACCTACTAAAATGAAGCTCGTTAAAATGAAAATACAGGCAACCTTTGTATAACACGGGTATTTCGTTCCATTGAAATCCTGCGTTACATAAATTGTTATATGAGAGACTCAAATTTAATAGAAAAAACGGGGTGGGATTCAAATTCTTTTTAAAAATTATTTTAAGTTTTTCTTTTTTAAATTATATAAACAATATTACCATGATAAAAAGGAATATATTTTTATCTAATTCAAGTAGTTTATATAAGTTAACATACAAAGCATGTATATATATATATATTTATAGTATATATATGTGTTTGTATTGCAAATAACACGTAAATGTTTTGGGAAAAAAGAAAATTTCGCTGCATGGACTATGGTAAGTTTAGCGACGTAATACGAAAGATTAAAAACTAACACACGTATTTTATATTTAAAAATATATATTTTTATCGAAACCGCGTTCTTTAAATACCGTTTTATACAAGGGTTGCTTGTAATTTTTGTTGAATATTAAATTATCTGAGTATTCAGAATGGATACATAGAATTTCACTTAATCGAAGATTAGAAGGAAATTAATTCTGCATTATTGACAGATTCGATCGCTGGTCAAGCTAACCCCAAGGAATGTGACTGATTGATTAGATCGATTAGATCTAATCGTCCTTCCCTCCTATTCACGTAAGTACTTTCCTCTTTCCCCAATATAACGAGCCATGTACAAATTAACAATCAATAAGTGAGACGATTTGCAGTCCTACAACGTAACATTTTTACGACAGAAATGATTAACGATCAATATTTCTTGTTAAATTATAATACATTGTCTTCTTATAAAACGTTCGACATAGTGAATAGTTTAATAGACGATTATTTCTGAAATTAATTAATTTCAGAAATAAAATTAATTTAATGAAAACAATATAATCGAGAATTTATATATTCTACATGAAGATATATAACGATTCGTACTTAACCGATAATTACAATTTCGATTATCTACGAAGTAAGAAACTTTTTATGCAACCCGATATATAAATCGGTACATTTGTGTAGTCTACGTACAGGGGCTCGCAAATATTTTTTTTTCGATGAACTAATATAATCGCAATATGTAATGATCTTAATGAAAAGAAAAGAAAGAAAAATTGAAAGATATTCTTCCTTTTTTTTTTTATTTCCTTTTATTAACGAGAAAAGAAAAGAAAAAGAGAACAAAAAAGAAACCACCATAGTAGTTATTAACGATAACGTCGATGCATCGCACATATCTGCATACATCGTTTATTGATTTCCGAAGCTGTTGCTGGAGCAAATGCATATATACTCTCACGCTTATAGCTTATGCGACATACCCATAGATATGTAGCTCGATCGAATTTAATTAAGTTACATTAAAGCTATCTATCAAATTGCCACGTCTTTGTGTGCATGACATTTGACAATGAGACGAGATATTTTTGAAATTCGAGAATAATAAATTTGAATCAATTTTTTTTTACAACGTTTAAAAATAATATGAATATTAAAAAAAAAAATCTCATTCTAAGAGAAAATTTCCAAGATCTATAGCAAGTCGAAAAAATGTCGATACGAACTTGACAAATTACTAGCCTGCAGTCTGCAATTTATTCCATAATAGTCTGCATTAATTATATTAGCGTGTACCATGAAAGCAATGACGATACGATCGTTGGGTGCTACGGCTCGAAGGACTTCTTCCGATTGGAATCTAGCTAATAACCGTGTTATTTCTGTTTCCAATGAATTACCTCAAAATATGGAAAATAATTGAACGATGAAAATTCATTACGTTGTCAGACAAAATACGAGAATAAAATAATTCGACGTAACGTAACTATGTTTAATAATATCTATTTCTATAGACATATTATGATGACTAACATTATGGACTTTGTGATCAATAAAAAGTAAAGCAGTAAGTTTTCATTTATAACGTTCTCGAAAAGTAACATATTTTCATTTATGACAACGAAAAATAGAATGTTGTACTTTTTGATTACGATAATTAGCACGTTTCTGTAATACGTCAAGAAAATAGGCACGTTTCGATTTTATTCGTGAATTGTGGCACGTTTCACTTCTGAATATATTTCAATCTTCATAACTGAACGTAACGAAAATCGAACGTAATAATATAGACAAATGAAACGTGCCACCTACTTATCGCAACAATCTTCGAAATATTCTATTATTGTTCTTACGAGGAAAATTATGAATCATGCTTGTTATCATTATGATTTAATGTCGAACAGGTTACTTCTCGATAACGATATTGAAATATCGTGGTACCTTTCACGCGATAGATTGAATTGCGATTGGACAAATATTTCATTAGAGAAACGAAATGTGCCTATTTTTCGTAACGCACATCTTCATCGTCGTCGTTCGATTACAATCTCGGAAGATATTTTTAAATGTTCCACGTTAATATTACACGTCTGTATTATGCGATCGTGTTAAAAATAAAAGGAAAATAAATAAATAAAAAAAAAAAGAAAAAAAGGAGTAAAAAAAGAAAAGAGAGAGGAGAAAAAGAAGAGAATGAAGAGAAAACCAAAATAAAAAGAAAAAAAAAGGGAAAAAGGAATGGGGAAAACTCGGCGATGACCCTAAAGTCTAATATATCCAATGACTTGCGACGTTTAACTTGGGTTGAAGGGACCGTTAGCTGTTGATTTAATATCAAGAGAAGGAAGACGAGAAGTCAGTGGAAATATACGAAATTATGGTACTAATTGCTCGTAAGCTTCAATGTTACTATGGAGTTTGCCGAAGCGAAAGCTTCCCAGTTTCAATTACCTTTCGCTAGTAGAGAAACTGAAAATGTTAGGGGACTCGCGTTCGAGTTCTATCTCTTTCATTCTCTCTCTCTCTCTCTCTCTCTCTCTCTCTAATTCTATTCAAACTTTCCGAGCCCTTTTCTAATACGCAGCCTCCGCAAATCCCAAGATCAATGTATAGACCTTGTAAAACTGGAACAGTTTAAACGAGCCCGGCAAGATCTTCCTGCGATTAGCGTAATTTCAGTCTGAGTTTGGACCGAGCTCGTTGTCCTTATCACCGTAGTTCTACTAGTAAACGACCGAAAAGAGAGAGAGAGAGAGAGAGGGAGGAGAAGGAGAGAGAGAGAAAGAGAGGGAGGAGAAGGAGAGGGAGAGGGAGGGAGGAGAAGGAGAGAGAGAGGGAGGGAGGAGAAGGAGAGAAAGAGAGAGAGGGAGGAGAAGGAGAGAGAGAGAGAGAGGGAGGAGGAGAGAGAGAGAGAGTGAGGGAGATGGAAAGAAGAAAATTACGTTGTACAAGATGAGAGAAAAATTAAGGCAGTCTGATGATATCTTGATTTAATTTCAGATTTAACCTTCTATAATCCAATTTTTGAATTTGTTCGCATTAAAATAAAAATTATATAATGCGACATTTTTATGTATATATATTGGGTTGTCCAAATGGGAAAGTTCGTACCAATTTTTGGTAGATGACGTAAGGGCAAAATCGGCACAAACTTTCTGGACAAACCAATATATATGTATATCTACGCTTTACTCACTACAGTAGAAGATATGCATACTTACCAAACAATCAACTTCGTATATGAACCAACAGGATTAGAGCTGTTGTTAAAGAGCCTTTTTAGTTAACTTTAGTTTAGTTTAACAAAGAATTAAAACATAAAAAAGTAAATAATACTGAATGCATATACGTTGTACGTGAGTTTGTAACATTAAAATGTTACATGGCGTTGTACAAGATTAACTTTTAAAAAATGGAATGAAATGTATTCGTCACGAATGCTCGAGTTGGTCAATTGTCTTCGTTAGAAAAAAAACAAAAAAAAGAAAAAAAAAAAAGAAAAAAAAAAAAGAAAAAAAAAAGAAAAAAAAACAAAATCAAACTGTCATCAATAGAATTTCCCAGTGGAATAGAGACGCCTCGATTTCAAGTATATCAGTTATCAGTTAGAACTTTTTTGAATCGAAAACGATCATCCCTCTTTCTCTCTCTCTCTCTCTCTCCCTCTTTCTCTTTCTTTCTTTCTCTCTCTCTCTTTTCCATTTACTACTACTTGGTCGAAATGTCCGTCGAAACGATTTCATTTTTTCCCCTTTTTTCTTTTTTTTCTATGAAAACGTAAAAAAAAAGTAGGGAATCGTTCGGAGTACGCTCTTGTAAAGTCATTCGTAGCTCGGTGCTCCGGTTACGCGGATATCCAAAGTGCGCCCATACCAGAAAATCTATTGTTCGTCCAGTGCGAACGAGCGAGGGAGCAAGCGCGCACGAGAGAGAGAGAGAGAAAGAGAGAGAGAGAAAGAGAGAGAGAGAGAGAGTGAGAGACAAAAAAGAAGTATACGTATGTACGTGACAGAAAGAGAAAGAGAAAGAGAGAGAGAGAGAAAATGAGAAAATACGAATGAGTTTGAATGCTGTTTTCTGCAATGATAATAGAAGAAAAAAAGAAAACAAAGAAAAGAAAGAGAAGGAAAGAGGAACGAATAAAGGAAAGAAGAACGTAAATTTGGGGAATGGTTTTTTGTTTTATCATACTCGTCAATTTTCCTTCGTCTATAAAAAGAGAGAAATATATATATATATATACATATATATATATATATATATATATATATATATATATATATATAAAAGCAAATAATATCGAAATATATATATATATATATATATATATATATATATATATATATATATATACAAAAGACAAATGATATCGAAAAATTAGAAAAGGCAAGTAGAAATCCTTGACTCTTGTCAAGGATTAACGTTTTATCGGTTTATCGTGTTACCGTTTATAGCCATTGCTATATCTTTCCTTTGGACGTTGGCCATTCGACTTGGATAGATGAAGAAAAGAGAGAAAGAGAGAAATAGAGAAAGATAGAGATAGAAACAAAGATACAGACAGAGAAAGAAAAAGAGAGAGAGAGAAAGAGAGAGAGAGAGAGAGAGAGAGGAAGAAAGAGGGAGGAAATGTTTGCGAATCAAAACGTAGTTCCTTGATGAAACGATTCGATCTTTATTTGTGACAAACGTCAACTTCGCTCGTGAAGTACCGACGACGTTTGTGCAGTGAACCCGGCCTCATTCCTACCTCGCTATTACTCCTGCGCTATCGAAAATCGTTACGCACTTTCGAGGGAGAGAGAGCGTGAGAGAGAAAGAAGGAGAGAGAGAGAGAGAGAAAGAGAGAGAGAGAGATAAAAAGACACGCTCGGGAAAGTTTATTTTATTTTTAGTAACTATTTTAACAACGAAACTTTACTTTTCATTTTTTTTTTTTTTTTTTTTTTTTTTTTATTATTTTTGAGATAGAAAGCGAGACAAAAGGAAAGAATGAGATATATATCTATCTATTTATCACCATCATCATCATCATCGTTTGATATAATCTAAAAAAGGAAAATGAAAGGGAAAAAAGGACATTTATATATGTTTATATAAAGAAAGAGAGAGAGAGAGAGAGAGAGAGAGAGAGAGAGAGAGAGAGAGAGAGAGAGAGAAAGAGAATATGCGTTTAAGAAGTATATACTCTTGAAAATTTTTTGTTTAAAGTTGCATATAAACGTGCTCTTTTTTCTTCATCGACCGCGATAATACATATGTACAATGCAGGTACATCTTTTATGCATGAAGTATTTAAAGTGGAGGATGAAAGGAAAAGCAAAAAGAAATGAAGAAAAAGTTGAAGAATAAGTAACGTTAAATATGATGAAAGTATTGAAAATTTTTCAAACTTTCCTACAAATTTGTAATCACTCGCAAAAGATTAATTCCCTATAGGAACATTATATCTATACTCATATTTACAGAATGAAAATAAGAAGGAATAAGAGAGAGAGAAAGAGAGAGAGAGAGAGAAAGAGAGAGAAAGAGAGAGAAAGAGAGAGAGAGAGAGAGAGAGAGAGAGAGATACAGTATACGGAAAATTTGAATCGCAAAATATGTCGGCACGTTTTGTTTAATTTTGTGGAACGATATCAAACGCTTATGTGTACGTATGAACTCGGTATATATTCGTATTCTTATATATATATATATATATATATATATATATATGTATATACATATATATAAATACGAATCGACGTTATACACATAAAGCTTTATTCGACTTCGCACGAATAACCAATTCAATTATGAATGCGAAACGAGCACGCGAATCTGTACAGGCAGGCTGAATTAAATCGATAGGGTATATTGTGATTGGGAAAAGGATGTTTTGAGAAGACGACAAGGTCCATTTTCAGTAAGTAATTTTCATACTTTCGTTTGTTCTACACACACACACATACATACATACGTACATACAAGCACTTTCACATGCCCACATATACACAAAAGGAAAAATTTATTTACATTAATAAGAATGAAATTCAAACAACTGTGAGTGATAGGTTCTATGATAGTCACAGAACCTATCACTTATCGATGATAAGATGAATTAGATTTTTCTTGTTTCTTTTTTTTTCTTTTATATATCTCTCTTTTTTTTTATTTTCTTTTTATTTTGTAGCGTTAAATACGAATAACACTTTTCGCATATAATAGATATTATGTATGGTCATTAAATTTATCAATGATGGTATCCTAAACAATCTAATTCATTGACGAACGAAAAAATTTTCGATGTATGACTTGCGTTAAATTCGAAGCCTTTTTTTGTCGATAGACGATAAAATAATTTTTATTCTTCGTTCTTTTTTATTGTTTTTTTTTTTTTTCAAGAAAAAAGGAGGAGAGAGAGAGAGAGAGAAAGAAAAAGAGAAAGAGGCAGAGAAAGTGAGAAAGATAAAGCACATCATCGGCGTCGTTCGAAAGCAGAGGAACAGGGTGGTTCGGTGAATAATCCACCCTACTTTCAGGGTTGTGTTTGACGTTGATGGCGGCCTTGAAGAGCCTAAACGCTCAGCTAATCACGTAATGGCGCATGACGCGAAGAAACACAGCTTGCTCTACCGTGGAAAATGTATGTGCTCTCGAAGGAAAGAGAAAGAGAGATAGATGGATAGATAGATAGATGGATAGACAGATAGATGGATAGCCTCAGATAAAAAGAGAGAGAAAGAGAGAGAGAGAGAGAGAGAGAGAGAGACAGAAAATTGCTAACGTCACTAAGAATCGCTAACTCGAAACTAGAAATTGATGGTTGAGATTTTTTTGGGACGTCATCGATGATGAATTCGGAAAAAGAAAAGCCCTAAATATCTTTTGAACTCTTAATCTCTTATCAGAAATGAATTGTGTACAAAACTAATATTTGTTCATTTCAATTCGTTTTTATCTTTATTTATTTTGTTGGATTTACCACTGGAAGTGATGAGTTATTAAGCTTTTTCGTTTTATAATATAAAGTTTAATAATCGCTAAACGTTAATGGAAGTTTTTTAAGTCAATATAAATTCATATGACAAATAATAAGTAATAATTTAAATACTAGACAAGTTTTGTAAGTATCGTTTAATTCCTATATCAAATATTAGCTTGAAGTAAATTATTTTTGAAGTAAGTTCTTTAGATAATACAGACATATGTATATATGTCATTTTAACGTCATTCGTGAAAATATTTCGAGTTCGATCGAACTATCTTTTTATCTATTTTATTTGATACTACCGACGATATAACATAGATCGATCGATGTGTATCTATTATAGTTCATGTAACTATAGATCCTTTCTATTTTTAAGTTGAAACGTGCGCTCTTGAAGAGACACGAAAGCGTTCGATCGTTCCTCAGTATTCTCGTTAAAAGAGGAAAAGAGATAGATAAATAGGTATATAGATAAAGGTAGAGAAAGAGAGAGATAGAGAGAGATAGAGTGGTAGAGAGGTAGAGAGAGGGAGGGAGAGATAGAGAGAGAGAGAGAGAGAGAGAGAGAGAGACAGAAAGACAAAGAGATAGAGAGAGAGAGAGAGATAGAGAGGTAGAGAGAAAGAGAGAGAGAGAGGGAAATAGAGAAAGAAAGAAAGAGAGAGAGAGAGAGAGAGAAAGAGAGAGAGAGAGAGAGAAAGAGAGAGAGAAAGAGAGAGAGAGAGATAAAACAAACCTTATGAACATGTAGACACCAGTAGGTTCTAAGGCTCTTCCTACGGCTCTCCAACTAGCCATAACAGTAAATTTTTGTCTTGCTGTTAGAGGAAGTCTTGGATCCGTCGTAGTTTGAGGAGGTGGCGGTGAACCTTCGCGATCATTTTGATTTCGCGATTTCGCGGCTGTCAGCTTGCTAAGTTCGCAGCCCATCTTGATTGGTTGATTATCTACGACGTCCTCGCGACGTCCTTTCCTTTTTTTGCTTTACTTTAACTTTAATTTCACTTTGGTCGAGAAAACGCAATGAGATATTTCTCGTGTGGGTTAAATCACGAGTAGATTCAAAATGGCGATCGAGAGAATCCTCGAGCGGTGATCATCGATCGAGAACGCTCGTCTCTCTCGTCTCGTTTATTGATCGAAAGCATTCCGTTTAGCGTCAAGTTTATCCTTCATAAATGTTCTTTCCCCCCCCCCAAAAAAAAAACACGGGAATATTTCTTTTTTCTTTCTTTTTTTAAAGCTGGTCCACAGTAAAAAATACGCAAAACTGTCGAACTCGAAATGTCGTCCAATAAGATATTGAAAAAATTGAAATTTTCTAATTTCCTTCGATTCGTCATCGACGACAAATCGATCGTTCTTTAATAATCACGATCGTCATTTTATCGGAACATTTTCATCATCGTCGTCACGCACGCGCGATCAAGATCTACTTTTGCCCCTCTTTAACACGCAAACACGTGCTTGAAATAGTGACACCGGTCGAAGCACTGGCTCGTCGCTAAAATTTCTTCTGCTTCCATTGCTTATCTTCGAATAGAAGAGAAAAACAAGGAAACAATAGATGGTACAGAATTCTCACTGATCTCGTTGGTTATTTCAAGAATCAATTCAATCTTCTCTAGAATGAATTGAAACTAAGTCAGCGAAGGCCAATTGAGAAAGAACCACGTCATTTAGGATACGTCACATTGGGAATGTTCATTTCGAGTCGACGGAACGCGAAGTTGGAGGGTGAAGGAAGTACAAGTGGTGGTTGCTCTCGAGTATCAGGGGGATGATGATATTGACAGGAGGTCGAGTGTCGGCGGGAGAAAGCTTTCTCTCTCTCTCTCTCTCTCTCTCTCTCTCTCTCTCTCTCTCTCTCTCTCTCTCTTTCTCTTTTTCTTTCACTCTCGTTCTCTCGTTCTCTCGCGTGTTTCTCGAGATATCGAGTGTCCTCATCGAATGATCATTCCTTCCAATACGATTGTTTCTCTTTTCTTTTCTTTTTTCTCACTGACACGTTGTATATATATATATATATGTATGTATCTATATATCACTCACTTACTCTCTCTCTTTCTCTCTCTCTCTCTCTTTCTTTCTCTTTCTCTCTCCCTCAAATCGATTCCTGTCCTCTCTTCCTATCTTCGTTTATATCGGGCCAATCGAGAGCACCTGACGTTCTCCGTTATAACTGATATCTTTTCCTTCTGCTCCTCATAACACCGAGACAGAAATAAATGAGAATAAGAGATCAACCGAGAAGGAACTATTCTATCGTATCTATTTAATCCTGACCATCCTCTTCAAGGAAGCATCATTCGGTCCAGTCTTATCTCGTCGTCCATTGACACTCGATATTTTTACTTTCCCTCACAGCTTATCGTCCATATTCATGAAATCTTTTCTACGACGTGTCATTCATCACTCATTTATCGTTTCACTTTTCACTTACAACAAACTCTAGATTTGTAAATTGAACCAGTTTCTATTATCGTTCTCCCGCGTTTCCCGTTTTCTATCTTTAGACCGTTTCCCGGGGCTCCCTGGCGAAGAGCTTACCGCGATTCTTCCACGTCGGCGATATTGCCTAGAGCCCAGGCGAGCCAAGACTGAGGCGCCCATAACAAGTGCTCCGCGACGCATGCGTCCCGACGCCGGTGGACCCTTTCCATCCTTTAGCCCCCGTTCTCTTTATATCCCTCCTCATCTTCATCCTCATCCTCATCCTCTTTTCCACAAGCTACGAGACCAATTAATCGGCCACTTTTCATTTTTCTCTGTTATACATTTTTTTTTTCTATCTTCCTTCCGTATTCCATGTATATTAGACGAGTCGATTGGTATTACGGGTCTTAATGATCGATTGATACGATTATACGATATATACTTTTATTGATACAATAAGTATCAAGAAATTTTATCTATCAATGAAATATGTTATCGAGAAATGAAAATTAATATATATATATATATATATATATATATATATATATATCATTCCAATGGAATGATCGAAGAATAAGATCGACGATATATGTTTATGTGAGTGTGTGTGTATCTATCTAATTATGTAAAATCTCGAGTATCGAAAATGTTCATTCTTAAAATGTGAGATATCGTTATCTCGATATTAAAATAAAAAAAAAAGAAAGTAAAGGGATAAAGTGAGAACATCGAGCGATGTTGAAAGTCAAGGAAGATATCACGCCAATAAAAAAGATATTTTTTTTTAACCCAAAGTGTTCAATACTGTGTCCTTCCCTTATCGTAGATCAAATTGTATATTCTCCATAGTTGGTAGGCAGAATGCCTCAGGGATTCTTCCAAGAACTCTCGTTCCATACCGAAATTATGATTCTAGGCACAGACGCGGCCTCGAGAGGTCGAAACTCGATGGGCGTTTACTTCGACGCCTTCACCGTTAACGAAAACGAAAATGCTGTATCCTTCTTCCGTTCCACTTTTATGTCGGATGGACAATTTGTGAGTTTGATCAAATTTATATAATATTTTATTTATTATCGAAATGACGAACGCTCTTTCTTTTTTTCAAAAAGATTTAAAGTGAGAGAGACAGAGAGAGAGAGAGAGAGAGAGAGAGAGAAAGAGAGAGAGAGAGAGAGAGAGAGAGAGAGAGAGAGACAGAGAGAAAGAGAGACAGAAAGAAAAGCTGTCTTATGTTCAATAAATTCGTTTTCATAATTCGACGAAATAATATGTTTATACAATTTATAAACATATTCATATAGTAAATTTAACACATGTTAACATACGTTATTATATACTCTCATATTTAATGTAGTTGTTGATACGATTATAAGCTCGAAAAATTTATTCAATTATACATATTCAACGCAATAAATTGTATAACCATAAAATATTAACTAATGATTTTATGTATGCGTGTATATATATATATATATACCAATATATATTTCTCTATCATTGGTTTAATCGAAAATCCCTATTGATGTTGATGAGGAACGAACAATTTGATTATTGTAGAATGTATACGCGCAATCTGCATAATCATACTTCGTTCATATAAATTATAAGCAGTTAAAGCTTTCGCGTTCGAAGCGAAGCAAGCATACATACTTGTATCATTGTGCGAGCATGAATACATCGTTCTGATTACAGAGTTAACTGATTCTACATGCTCGACAATGGATAAAGCAGGATAATGTTATTGAATATGATTTACATAGGTAACATTTTTCCTTTAATGATGACCTTGAACGTTAGTTTAGAAAATAGAAATCATACGTATACGTTCCTTTTTTTCTTCACTCATTTATTTCGCATATAGATACGCAAAAATATACATATACACGCACGTACGTGTGAATATTTTACTGTATATAAACGAGAAGTTAAATAGATCATTACCATCCAATTATGTTAGTTCGTTCTATTATAAGAAATGAAATTTCTTTCTTGGCGAAGACTTGTAAAAGAGCCGGTCGATGTGGAAATTATCGGGAACGAACGAAACGTTCGAGACGGGAGCGGATGCCAGCACCGCCAATTTTTCGGCACGTAACAAAAAAGAGAGAGAGAGAGAGAGAGAGAGAGAGAGAGAGAGAGAATGAGCGAGAGGAAGTGAAAGATAAAAAAAAGAAAAAGGGATTAGGATCGATCTCCTACAAAATTGACGCCAAGATATCCTGCCAGATAAGTAGCACGAATTCGTTCGAAGAGTTTACTTTTTACAAACCACAATGTTACAAAGGATTCTTCTTTTCGTGGGCTTTCGAAAACAAATTTCTTAAGATCCACACGTAAGAAAAGATTAGATTTTGAAAGAACTTTTGATCTTTTCCGTCTTGCGATCTATTGCATGAATTGGATTCGAAACAATTCTTTCAGGAGCAAAGTACAGAAGCCAAAGTAGAAATTAGATATTTCTTCTCTTTTTTATTTTCTTTATTTTTTTTCTTTCTTCTACTTTCTCTCTCTCTCTCTTTTTCTTTCTTTCTATCTCTCGTTTTATTTTCCTTCCGAATACGTTGAAGCCAGTACATTTAACAATAAACCTGTAGGTTTCAGGAGCAAGCTAGACATATAATTAGAGCGAGGTATCTCGTGAGAAAATGCTCCGCCATATAATGACTTCGGGTCACGAAACCGAAGGAAGTTCTTCACTTCGGACTCCGGCAGTCTTGTTTATACGTAAGACTGTCAGTTGATTTCTTTCTGCCAGCCACTCAATTGGAGCTATCAAATGAACGAAGAGAGGAAGTATTCGAATAAGGTGTCAAGTTCGAGGTATAAGAATAATTAGGGTTGATCGTAATGAGAGTAGGTAACGATTTAAACGTGAATCATTGCTACATAGAATGAACTTGGTACGTTCAAATTACACGGAATGGATGATTCTTTATATTTAATCGAATAAATTCATCGGTCGATATGGTAGGAATCTGTGCATAATGAACGATTGAATCATTATGAAACAAGTCCGACAACGAAGACAACGATTTCAAGACCGTGAAAAGTATGAAAGGGAACAATCATGAAAATCGTAACAGTGTATCGGGTAGTATATAGCGTAGAGTAGTAGATGCGACGTAATGAAAGTTTCATGAACTCGATGAAATCTAGACTCCATACCTATTCATAAAACCATTAGTACGATAACTACGATGCCCGTATCACTTTTATTTTTCTTAAAGAGATCGGATTCGTGCCAATCTATTCTAACTCTAATTGTTCGAAATATGAACTAATATGAAAGAACGTGCCGTTAGGGAATAGAAGAAAATTCGAAGTGGAGATAAATGGCGGGCCCAATTTCTCAGAACGCGGTCGGTAAGTTAGAGATCTGTAAACCGGGGCCCAAGGATCTTCGAAGGATGGTGTGTAAGCATGAAAGAAAGGAGGCGCCATGGCAGTCTTAGCTCGGACAAAAGCTAGTACATGGGATTCCGCTCATTCTCCCATAAACCTTGCTTGTGCTCGTCAGGTGGGGCAGGAAAAGGAGAGGAGGCCGGCTGCCTTCCATCGTGCGACACCCACCTGGCGTCTCACCTGAAGCACCTTCGCCGCTGAGTGCTGCGTCGGTCCCCGCGAGTGCGGTGCGCGTCCTCTTCTCTTCCTCTCTCTCTGTACTTCCTCAACGTTCATTCATTCCCTTTTATTTCATCTGTTTCTCTTTCACTGTCTCCTTGTTTTTTTTTTCTTTTTAATTTGTGCTTCTCTCTCTTTTCTTCTCTCTCTCTTTCTCTCTCTCTCTCTCTCTCTCTCTATCTATCTATCTCTCTCTGTTTCGTTCTCTTTCGTTCTCTTTCTCTCTCTCTCTCTCGCTCTCTCTTTTTCTCTGTCTGTCTACCTTGTTCTCTGTTATCACGTCTCGAGAAAACAAAAACTTTCGATCGGATGAAGATATTTTTCGACTGATCGACGAAATCAAAATAACGAGGAAGAATTTCACGTAAAATAAATCGGAGTGAGAGGAAAGGAAGGAAGAGGAAGAAGAATTAACGACCACGATTATTGGTGTTGAAGGAAAATTTTGCGAGGATTGAATATGAGCGCGACTCGATTTCGCTGGATCGTGCGGTGTCTCGTGTGAAGAAAAAAGAAAGAAACTCTCGTGTCAGTGTTTCGACAGAACTTTATCGGGAATTTCAATATTTCTGTGTGAGACTCCGAAGTGTTCCTACTTTCATTTTCTCTTCCTCTTTCCCTCTCTCTCTCTCTCTCTCTCTCTTTCTCTCTCTTTCTGTCTCTCTCTATCTCTCTCTCTTCCTCTTTCAATCTATCTATTTATCAATCTATCTTTTTCTCCGTGAAACGGATCGACTTGAATCATCGACTACGTCCAAACATGTTAATCCCTACGTGCTCGTCGTAGGATAGCCGAGAGGTAAGTTAAAAAATAATTTTTTATTATTTCTTTAATTATTTTCCCTTCGACTTTTTTTGTCGAATTACTTTCCTCATGTATAAAACAAACGTTCATTTTAAAGATATAAAACAAAATAAAATAATTGATATTATTGAAAAATGATTATTTAGGTAGTATCTTATCTTACGTCATGCTTCGCGATTTATTGAGACTTCCCTAACCCCCTCACCGTCCACTTCCCTCCTCTCCTACCTACCCCACCCACTACTCTCCTCCGCTCGTGTGAAATTCAGCAAGGATTCGAAGCGAAATCACATCGCATTAGAGCCGAGGAGAATTCTAAGAGCAGGTGAATCAGCGTAAGAGAATGAACTCTGGCGCGCGGCAACGGCTACGAACGAACATGTGCGCAACATACCTTCGTATAACGTGCTGCTTCGTCCTATGCTCGTATATGTGTATGTGTGTATGTATATATATATATATATATATATGTATATATGTATGAATGTATACGTATACGTATAGGACAATGTTCTCGAGGGTAATATTGTCTTCCTCTCGAGATGACCGAGCGTGTTCCGATAGAACCATGCGAAATAGCAAATGCTCGACTGTTCCCTCGTCTCTTTCATTTATATATATATATATATATATATATATATATATATATATATATTCTTTTTTATTTTTTGTTTATCATCGCAGAAAAAAGGAAAGAAAGAAAGAAAGTAGAAAGTCTATTTGAAAACGGGTTATTCTATAAAACTTGAGAAAGTATATGTATTTCCTAAAACAAGTCAACGGAAGTAAGAAAGTTTATAAAAGGAAAAGAAGAAAAAGAGAACGAGGAAAAAAAAAGAGGAAAAAGAAGAAGAAGGAAAAGAAGATAAAGAAGAAGAATAAAAAGAAGAAAAAGATGAAGAAGAAGAAACATGTTTGATATTTCCCTTGCACGACTTCGCATATAAAAGGAAGACACGGCTAAAAGATGAAACCGGTCTCGTTAATTTATATTACATTCATCGGTACCTAAGTATTCTCGAAATGAAGAAAACCTATTTTCTACTATTTTCTCATAGCATAGAAAATTCAAGAGGGAAAGGGGTTGGAAGGGTAAAGGAGAAGAGGAGATCGTACGTTTAACAGATTTTTCATGAGCGCGTAAGAATGATAATCTCCGTTCTCATTACGCTAACTCCTAGTCGTCGGAAAACTCCTTTCAATGTTAATAAAAGTACCTCGTAAGAGTTTAAAGTTATAAAGGTCGTACAAAGTACATGAATCGTAACCCAATTAAACGTACAACAATTTACCTCGTTTTTTCACTCGAGTCGTTCTCAAGTGCAATAACCTGGCTACCATTTCTTCTTCATCATCATCATCATCATCATCATCATCATCTTCTTTCTCTTCTTCTTACTGCGAATTTAAAGTTTCAGATCCATAGAGACAAAAAGAGATAAAGGGAGATAGAGGAAGATAGAGAAAGAGAGAGAGAGAGAGAGAGAGAAAGAAAGAGAAAAAGAAAGAGATAGAGACAGAGATAGAGATAAAGAGAGAGGAAGAGAGAGAGAGAGAGAGAGAGAGAGAGAGAGAGATGACATCGTTCATTCTCGATTATCCCATCAACTGGAGTTAGTTAATTGAGCCACGCGCCGAGAACGAGGCGATTCTCGTTAAAAAGAATTATAACGGTTAAGAGCGTTATCGTCGACACGTAGCGAGACGAACGTAAGATGATTACGTAAAAATCAGTAGGATGAATCAACGTTAGATTTATTGATTGTGCAACTTTTCGAATCGATGCTCGTTTCATAACACGTTGATGTTTTGCCGATCGAATGTCTTTTTAATTAGGCAAATTTGATCGAAATAATTCATCGTATGTATAGTGTATACATGTGTGTGTGTGTGTGTATGCGTGTATTATAAAAATAAAAACAAAACAAAGAGACATGTGGGATAGAACAGAAATATCGATCATAATTGTTTTTATAATTTTTGTAATATTTAATTTTATTTAACGATCATAATTATTTCTATAATCATTTGTATTGTTTATATTAATCAAATATTAGAAAAATTTTATAACACGAGTAAATTTTTATGGATTCGATTTAAAATGTTTCGGATTATATTTCGATACGATTAATTTAAGAGAGAGAGAGAGAGAGAGAGAGAGAGAGAGAGAGAGAGAGAGAGAGAGAGAGAGAGAGATTGTATAGATAGAGACTCTAGACATCGATTTAGTTATTTTCAAACAATCGCGATTTTATTGGAACGCAATAACGTACTGGAACGCAAGGGAATTGAATCATGTCGAGAAATAAAGTAACTATACAGTTATATCTAAGGGGCCGTAGAGATGAGACCATGTTAGATCGTAGATAACCCACTTTTCAAATCGATCTACTCAAGTTATATCGAATTCTGTATAGCAAGAGGCGCTTGGCCAAGTTTTTCGCATCGAAAAATCGGAAGCCTCGAGAAAACTTTCATAAGAAACGACGACGACAACGACGACAACGACGACGACGATAACGACGATGACGATAACGACAACGAGGACAACGATGACGATGACGACGACGACGACGACGACGATGACGACGAGAACGACGATGTTGACGATTGGATGCTGCTTAAAATTTTCGTCGATAGGAGATGATAAAAATGTTTTGAAATACGTTACATCGTCTAATGCCCGACGATTCGTGTTGCTAGAAACAGGAAATGAGACGAAGATTTTATACCAAGTATTAGATGTAATTTTCTTCTACTCTTTTATATTCTTCCTCTTTCCACGTCGTCGAATTCTCTAGCAGCCCTTAGGCAATTTCTCCGACTAAAAATGTTCATTATCTTTGAATCTCTGGCGTAGAAGAGAAGAAAAAACAGTTAGGAAGATTATGAACTCCCTGGTGGACTTCCTATGAGAAAAGAGTTGCATACGTGATGATGGATTTTAAAACTAAGATGATTGAAGGTGAACAAAATATACATACACGCACATATATACGTGCACGCATATAGACATACGCACGCACAGACACATACATGCACACAGATTATAAGTATACGTTTGCTTGTTATTAGTGTCACGCTCGAAGATGGTCAATGCTAATTAAACTGAATGAAATCTCAACGAAGAGTTAAAAAAAAAAAAGAAAAGAAAGAAAGAAAGGAAATCCTTCGAGCGGCAATAAGATCGCGTATGGATTGTCTAGCAACGTCTAGAAATTCTATCTGCCCTTTGTTATTAAGGGAACGTAGAAATTCCTCGATTTCCTGTCAAGGGAAACCGTCCTCAGATGAGAAATAGCACAGCGCGGGGTGGAGAAGTTGGGGTAAATGGGGAAACCAGTTTTACGGAGCGGAATAGACGCATTTCTATGTCGATCATCAGACTACTATTGTATTTAACCCTTATATATATATATATATAAATATATATATGTATATAAATATATATATATATATTGACGGATTTGTTTATCGCGAAATTATGGCGATCTTCTTAGAAATGAAAATATCGATCGTACGACATAGGATTTAGTCATTTGCTTCGTTTGTTCTACCTACCTAAATGTTTGCTACGTCAATTCATTCGAGTTTCTAGCTTCGATTCGTTGCTGCGTTAATTAGATTCGTCGACGCAAGTTTCAACGGTGGCTAATTGCCGGAGAGTTAATTGTTTTGTGAAACTTCGATAAAACTGAATATATCTGAAAGAACGAATATGTGCACGTGTGCATGTGTGTTTATATTTGTGTGTGTACGCGTGAAAGAGAAAGAGAGAGAGAGAGAGAGAGAAAGAAAAAGAGAGAGAAAGAAAGAGAGAGAAAGAGAGGAAGGACTCGTCCTGTTACAACTTCATTTTATTACGCGTAGCGAAGACGTTAGAACGATACTTAAACGAGTTGCTAAACGAGCTTCGACGACATCTTCGAAAGCAAAGTGAGAAATTCACTTTACACTTCTCATTACTGTATTCCTTACTTTCTTCCTTCTATATATTTTCTCTCTTCGTTCCTGAATTCTCAACGGCTATTAAATTCGAACGAATGTTTACGCGAAGCTTCTTTTAATATCTCCATCTCTATTTCTATCTATCTATCTCTCTTTGTTTTTATCTCTCTCTCTTTAAAGTCTTCTCTCTCTCTCTCTCTCTCTCTCTCTCTCTTCTCGTTTATTCTCTTTCTTTCTTCGAGATGAGCAATAGGAGAGTCCGACCTTGTAATGAAAAACATTTTCACGGATTTAAACGTTACTTTGTTCTAAGAAGTTATAAATGTACGACGAAAAACGAACGGATAACATTCGATTCGAAGCTCTGACAATATCTAGAACGTCTCGAAATAATTTCTCTTCAAGGACCAGACCTACCAACGATCGTTTCATTTTATCGTGAATCTCAATTTAGATAAGTACCTTTCTTTCTATCGTGGATTTATCTACGATATTGATAAAACAGTTCTTTCCTTTTCTTTTCTTTTTTTTTCTTTTTTTTTTTTTTTTTTTTTTTTTTTTATTCAGATATCAAACTCGTTTAACAACTTGAACGCGAGATCGATCGAACGTTCGACGATAATAATTAATATTGTAATTATCAAATTAATTATTATAATTGTTATTATGAGAAAGATTTTTATGACGATCATCTTCATTTAAAAAAAAAAAAAAAACAACGATTTATAATAATATAAAAAAAGAAAGAATGAATATAAAAATAATATATAATTATCAGTAAAACTATACTAGCCTGTTATTTATTGAGATATGTATAAACATCATCTATTATACATTATTACATTAGAGTATTGTTTGTTTGTTAAATAAACGATATTGAAAATTCTGTCCATTATTTAATGGTCTATTCAATAATATAATATTGTATTATTCTACAATATTATTTATTAAATATATATAAAAATAAATTATTATATTATATTACGTGTGTAATGTAATAAATTATTATATTATATTACGAGTGACAAAATTTCGTCATTATTTAT